TATTTAAAAAATGCAATAGCTATATGAAATAGTGCTATATGCAGTGGTAATGAATATTGAATACGCACTCACTATTTCAGCTATGTACAATAAACAGTGGAAAGAATCATTACCTTCGTCTGAATAGCGAAATCTACTATGGTAATCGTATACCATTAAAAACGTGCTGAAATAAATTCGTGAAAATCCACATATAAACTCGAGTAACGATGAACTATAGTGACTCGAGTAAAAATATGCACGTGGCAGTTTCCAATTAATGTGCTAGAAAATGATTGTAGTTTCCAATTAACTCTCATGCTAGGACAACAGCCAGATTTTTTAATGGCGGAAAGCGAAGGACTTAGAAAATTTTGCAGCACAACAAAATTAAGGAAGTCGAATTAAGGTTAAAACTACTCTTCCAGTTTCTCGCAAAATTCTTGTGCGACTCCATACTAGATATCACTTGCAATAATAAAGGGACTTGTAGCTTGAGCAAACTGTCAGCAAATCTCCAGCTTTGTTTGCTTACTTTTTTGCGGTCCCTATTTGTAGATTTGAAATTCATAATTTTTAATTACCTTGTATATTGGCTTTTTTAATGCACAGCAATGGGCGAATATATGCCTAAAGCAAGACACAATATCCACTAAGCGCCTATAAAAGTTTATCACTAGAAAAACAGCTTTTTCAAATAAAGCTTCATGTCTTTTAAAGTAATCATTTACTGCGCCTGGTGGCGTTGTGTCTGAGGTTTCGTGTAAAGACGAGTTTAACATGCGTTGAGTACAAAATCTGCCGCTCAGAACAACATTGCATCTAATATGTATTCATAACCACGTAAATCAACTTTCAGTGAAAAATAACCAACTTTTAAATAGGTCATGGACATTCGCAGCGCTTCTAGGGTTTGGTGCAAAATATCTATCCGATTTTACTGTAGGTTTGTGAACTAATAATATTAATATAAGTAAATGGGAAATTTCGATTTTGTCTAGAATCGTGAAATTACCTATTTTGCTTATTATCAACGTTTGGGTGGTCTTAACTATTGAAAAGAAAGATTTTGAGTGTTGTTTCACGAATAAGTCTGCTTTTTAAGGCGGTTTTTGCTCGGATGTTCTATTAGAGTTTTGAGCATATTCCTGTGCGATCCCCATTACGAACCACTATCGTGTTTCATGATTCCTGTTCAAAGGAAATGAATAGTAGTACAGTGTGAACTTCAATGGCTTAGTTAATAAATGAGCATTTGTCTGTGATTTGTTATACGTGTATTTATTTCATGATAAAAATATGTAATTTATTCATACACTGCCATCTAATCATTATATGCTAATTATTTTTGCTGTATTGATTATGACATTCAGTATTTCTAGTCACTTTGTTACAACTTTTTTTATTAATGTATATGTCGGTTTTAATTGATTTAGTTCTGAATAGAAAAATATTCCCTTCATTTGAATATATATATATATCTTAACTATTTGCCAAATAATTCTTTCTTAGCTTAGTAGAAGAGACAACTAGATGAGTCTTTCACTTGAAATATATATATTTTCAAATATTTTTTGTTTGTAGTTAAGCACGCATCGGTGTAAGTCCGCAAACATACCGCTGTGCCACTGGAGGGTTAAATTTTTTTGTAAACATAATATGGCATGATTCAACATAGGAAGGATAAGATTTGTTACTGATAAAAACAATTATGTACTGTACTATCCATATAGCTTAATACAATGTTTATGATTAAATCACCTACTTATTATAATGAAGTCTTATGGACATTTTCTCAACTACAAACAGTATAATCAGTATGAACATTCCATTAAATAATTCTAAATTACATTCGTTTGAAGTTACCTTTCTTAATTTGTAATAGATGAATAATTGATAGGATTGTCAAAATTCTACGTATATTATGAAGAATTTGCAACCTGATATTTTAAGGTTACATTTTTTCTTTACAAATTTACTTATCCTCATTGTCAGCAAGGCAATATTGGTTCCACCAAAAGAAAATTACCAACACGTATAAAAGAATATGCCAACCCGAGATCATCCATTAAATCAAGTATCCTTGAACATCCCCTAGAAAAATGTGACGCCATCCATTCTGGTTCGTTCAAGTTCTTAGACAGCTCTAATGACAAACAGAGCTTCTGAATAAAAGATATTTCGCTCAGTTATAAGCTAAAGCCTGAACTTAACGTTCTCAATTCAGGAAGTACATTACAGTTGAAGCTATAAAAATGTAATGAACAGTATACGGTTTGTAAAATATATGTTTTTACACCTAAAGATGGATCTAATTAGTCTGAAAACTCATTACCATTAAAGTAGCTTATATGTCTTAATAGAAGTAGGAATTTAGGTTAATCACTGTCGAGTGTTTTTTTTAGGAGGTTTTAGTATTATATTTGTTAGTTTAGTCAACCTTATTCTGTGTTTTACTTTCTGTTTCCTATGTTTTATAAAGGTAACATTTCTCATTAGTGATGTCATTTTGGTGGTTTTATTTTTTAGAATATAATTTTAAATTGTTCTATTTTTAATAAATTAACTTTTGTTTCTTTTTTTGATTCTAGTTAGCCTTTTGTTATAGCAGACCGAAGTCTGACCATTTAACAAAACCCACCTTTCTGTTCGAAATAATATAATATGTTGAATAATATAAGTATGAATAACTTGGGTGTGTTTTTTTCTGTTGTGGGTTAAACTGAACGGAATTCATTTTATTTCCGATGTATTTTACTGCTTCAATGTGTTCCTCTATTTTCTAGCTACACACCTGGAAGAAACATCTGCACAAACAGGTCTGACTGAATCTGCCTATATGCCAGGTGCCAAATGATGTGCCAGTGTATAACCAATTAGATATGGGTTTCAAAAAGCTGGCCTGTATGCCAGGCACCAAATCATGTGCCAGTGTATAACCAATTAGAAATAGGTTTCACAAAGCTGGCCTGTATACCAGGTGCCAAATGATGTGCCAGTGTATAACCAAATAGAAATAAGCTTCACAAAGCTAGCCTGTATGCCAGGCACCAAATCATGTGCCAGTGTATAACCAATTAGAAATAGGCTTCACAAAGCTGCCTGTATGGCAGGAGCCAAATCATGTGTCAGTGTATAACCAATTAGAAATAGGCTTCACAAAGCTGCCTGTATGCCAGGCGCCAAATGATGTGCCAGCATATAACCAATTACAAATAGGCTTCACAAAGCTGCCTGTATGGCAGGAGCCACATCATGTGCCAGCGTATAACCAATTACAAATAGGCTTCACAAAGCTGGCCTGTATGCCAGGTGCCAAATGATGTGCCAGTGTATAACCAATTAGAAATAGACTTCACAAAGCTGCCTGTATGGCAGGTGCCAAATCATGTGCCAGTGTATAACCAATTAGAAATAGGCTTCACAAAGCTAGCCTGTATGCCAGGTGCCAAATGATGTGCCAGTGTATAACCAATTACAAATAGGCTTCACAAAGCTGGCCTGTATGCCAGGCACCAAATGATGTGCCAGTGTATAACCAAATAGAAATAAGCTTCACAAAGCTAGCCTGTGTGCCAGGCACCAAATGATGTGCCAGCATATAACCAATTAGAAATAGGCTTCACAAAGCTGCCTATATGGCAGGTACCAAATCATGTGTCAGTGTATAACCAATTACAAATAAGCTTCACAAAGCTGCCTGTATGGCAGGTGCCAAATCATGTGCCAGCGTATAATCAATTACAAATAAGCTTCACAAAGCTGCCTGTATGGCAGGTGCCAAATCATGTGCCAGCGTATAACCAATTACAAATAGGCTTCACAAAGCTGCTTGTATGGCAGGCGCCAAATCATGTGCCAGCGTATAACCAATTACAAATAGGCTTCACAAAGCTGGCCTGTATGCCAGGCACCAAAGGAGGTGAATTCCATTCACAACAAAGTGTATACTCAACTGGTGAAAAGCTGGATTCAAATCCTTTTTTAATAAGAGTATGTACTTACTGTGTTAAACTGAGTGACACATTCCTTAAAGAAGAGGGAGCTGACAGAATGAAGTGACCTATGCACTTACCAAAACCTTCAATCCCATCTAGCATGTATGGGGTGCCTTTGAGAGACAAAACACATCACATTAAATGACCTCACACACTAAAGATGTCCTGAAAACAGCTCTTCAGAGGAGTGGTTAAGATTGCCTCAGAAACATATCAATAATGATTTTAAGCATGACACATCAGGGTCAGGTTGTCCTTGCTATTCCTGGTAACCATAGTTCGTATTGAAATTAAATGTGCTGAACTGTAAAAATTTATAACCACTTTTACAAAAATGTTAGAAAATAGGCTAAACCACAAACCATTTGTATTTCAGATTACATGATGGATCATTAGTAGACTGAGTTACACAATATTTAACTAGGCACCATAATGATGTTTTACATTTTCATAGCTAAATTATAAATTCCAGTTATCTTTTAATTTGTGCAGTATAGTATGCTACTAATAGTTAATGTAGAAGTAACTGAAAATTACTGACAGCATTTAATCATGATGTGAAAAGTTACAGTTTGTTTGTTGTTTAATTTTGCACAAAGCTACTCATGGGCTACTCTTGAATAGTACGATTTGACCATTACTCTTATACCACACCCACAGCCCTAAAATGTGACTGTTTTTAAGCAAATTCGCATACTAGCCATTGGGCTATTCTCGGTACATTAAGTTATAGTATTCACAATTTTACATTTAATAAAGCATTAGAAAATAATTACCAAAATATTAAAGATAATCATGCAAATATAATTAGAAATTTGAATCACCTTGTACACCTTTATATACAACAATGTTTAGCTACACTTGCCCATGTTCATCAAATTAAATTCTTTGAATGTTACTGAGGTTTGTTTTCTAAAGAAGTTCTGTGAAAAAAAAGGTTATTTGATTTTAAGAAAATTCTGAAGTAACACAACAACAAAAAGAAAACCTAACTTAGAATGTCTTGTTAAACAATAAAAGATAGACAGAGCTATAAAACCTTTATTATTTTTAAATGTTTCTTGATAACTGCTATACAAAAACAAGTTTTCTTTCTACAAAAAAGCAGAAACTACTACATTAATGATTGTTTCAGTTCTGATATCTTTCCATGGCTTTCTTTGAGTCTGTACGGTTAAGATGAAATAAAATTCTTTCCTCTATCTTATCAACAGCAGCCAATGTAAGAACCAACGTCTCATGTTTCAACATGCTGTAGACATTTAGTCCTGAAAAAAAAACAAAAAAAAACTAGTATGAATTATCAAAAATATTAATAACTGATTATCAAGGTAATGATGATAAAGCTCTGCAGAATTATTTTAAGATTCACGAGAGCAAAAATCAGTAAACTTGGTTTACTATTTTCTGCCACAGGGGCCTAACTGCTGTTAAATCAGGCATGTATGTATTGTATGCATCTTTTCAAATAATGAAGCCAATAAAAATGTGCATTTTTACTCCATTTTACCTACTTCCTTGGCTACAGTTCATTGTCAGTATTGTATATAACGTTCATTAAATAGCTTTCCCTAATGAAGAACCACACACACTCCGAGTATCAGAAGTTAGCAGCCATAAAAAGATTTAGCAGTATGGAATAAGAATCTGGTATTTCAATGATTTAAACTTATAACAATAAATCCATTATTTTTTTTGTATTGTTTGTTGTTAAGCACAAAGTTACATAAAGGGCTATCTGTGCTGTGTCTATGGCGAGCATCAGAACTCAATTTTTAGCATAATAAACCCTGACTTACTGCTGAACCACCAGGTGTTAAGTAAGTATAACATACAAACACCACTTTAGAAAAAGGACAAATACACAGATTTCAAAACATACATTAGTTCAGAATAGATATGAAATCACATGGTTCTCTGTACAAGTGCACCGCCCGTATTACTGTTGTGGTTAGTAGATTAAAGAACTTATGAACTTTCAGTATACACATACATTTACTCTCTCTTTATCACCATCTGCATTTCCTATTCTTTCTACATTTATCATAAGCATCACCTGTAAGTTGTACATTCTTATTCTAAAACTCCCAAGTAAAAATCATCCCATAAGATTTAGTGATGAAGGTTTGTAATGAAAATGTTGTAGTGTGTGTTTGACCAAAGTTATATTATTTTTCCAGAGCTTGTATTGTTCTGATAACATGGTTAAAAGCAACAAAAGAACTGAGTGCTAATGAAAAAACTAAATGTCTAATTTTGAGTTTGATTTGAAATTTTGTTAAAAAATTGTAACAAACACAGAATAGAGAATCAAGACCTTAACAGAAATATTATGAATAAACATATATCTCATCCTTTCATTTCGATATGCTTTATCCTTCACTGTGCTTGAAAAGTACTTCAACAAGTGACTGATCTCAACCTTTTAGCATCTAAGCACTATTAAAGAATGTTACACAAACCACTCTAAGCATCCCATATCTTTATGATGTAAAAATCATCATTACTTACTATAAATACTTCAAACAATTTGCTTCATGAATCTTCAAGCCCAAATGCATGATTAAATGTTACTAAGTCTTTACTTCCTGATAATCAGCTACAAAACAAAGAAAAGCATTTTATGCAACTTTACCATAAACAGGCATTAAGTTGATGTGTTTCACTGTATCAGTTGCTATGGTGATGTTCCTTGGCATCAAGTCAGTGCTATAAAGGAAGAATCACAATTCATTATAATTTTGTACAAAAAATAAAAGAAGATTAAAATGATATTAAAGTATAACAGATAACAATATATACATGTTAAGTCAAGAAAAAATTCTACATCAATAACAAATTGTATCTATGAACTTTGTTATAAATCATAGTCCATTATTTTCAAATGTTTGCAACAGTAATAGGTAATTATTCAATAACATTATCTTTTCACATGCAATACTTTGTTCATTTATATGCATTTTAATCTCAACATTAGAATATTGCATACCAAACTAAATTTTCTAACACAGTACAAACATGAAAGCTTTCTGAATATGTATGGTTCTAGGTTCATTAAACTATTAATTATATGTTTATAATTAGAAACTGTGCCACAACACGCAATATTCTTCTTTTGTGTGCAACTCAACTGACTTTGCTGTCTCACAGGATCAGTTTTTGATTGCTGTTTTTATCTAAGTCTCGGTTATTTTCACATACTTAATTTCAAATGATAATTTAATGGTAGCAAATTTCTCACAGAAAAAGACATTAACATCCAGTTAATGAAAAAGTGTGGAATATGAGATCAAGTCAAGAATGGAAACAAATTATCAAACACATAATCATCATGGCTCTTCGTTGTTAGACTCACAATTGACTGGAACTGGTTGGCTAGTGAACAGTGAGAAATAAAGACTGTTTTTCTGTGTTACTTTATGGAAAATATGTCTAGAAAAGTTTGGAAAATAAAAAATTCAATCACAAGCATTTTTTTTTTTTTTATGGGAAAATTATCAAAGTAAAATTGACAACTCAGGTCTTTTTCTCAGCTTAAAATATTAATATTCATAGTATAAAACAAGCATAGATAATTATTCTAAATTTAGCTCTAGGTGTCATGGCTTTCATGTACAGACAACAGACCGTGTAGACAAAGAAGCAAATGAAACTTATTTCGATAATTGTATTTCTTGGACTCATTGATGAAAATATTATCACCATTTTAAATAGCTTTTGCTTTATTTTACAATAATTTTATAGTACATTGTAATCCTGTAATTACAATTTTACAACTTATAATTTTATAGGACAGTAACTACAAGACTGGTGACCAAAACATAAACCTCCGCTTTGGAGATCAATTGGAATATAATCAATTTCCTTATGATATAATTGTAGTATTTTTCTTCCAAATTTTATTTCAGCATTTGTGGCATATAATCTCTATGATAACTAGGTAGTGATTCCAAGTTGTTCGGTACCCTATAAATAATAAGTACTACAGACAATCATAATGAATTCAAAGTTAAATTGAGTAGTTTCAGTATTGCTATGTTGTATCTTAAAATAAGTTGGTTAATTACAAAACAAACAGAACCATTATTTACTACTTTTCCTATTTCTAAATAAATAATAAAATTAGAAGTTTTTCACAATATAGACATTTGAGTACCTGACTGACACGTTGCATCTCATGAGAATAGTTATTACAAACAAATGACAACTACTTCAGTATATGATGAAAATTAAATGCTGGTACACTGTTACCTTCATTGAATTTAATTTGTAACTAACTAGTGTTAATATTAAAAAAATATATGTTTCTTCTTGTGGTGTCAACAAATCAAATTTCCTATTTCCATTAAAATACTTTACAATAACGACTTACTTATCTACAAAGAGAACAGATGGACCCCAACCTCGCTGTTCTGTCAGTTCTTCTAGAAACTATGTAATACAATGATTCTTCAGTAAATTATTAGAGATTAAACACAAAACAATAACAAATAATATAATTAGACAAATTGTAAATAAAAAATATACACTGGATGAAATATTAAAGTACAGTAAATCTGACTGTTACAATAACATGAAAGAAAAATTCTGCAAAAGCACAAAATGTTGGTAATCTCAAAAGCTTTTATTTAAATATACATTACTGACACTATAAAATATATATTACTGGCTCAATAAAAGATATATTACTGACACTATAAAAGATATATTACTGACACTATAAAAGATACATGACTGACACTATAAAAGATATATTACTGACACTATAAAAGATACATGACTGACACTATAAAAGATACATGACTGACACTATAAAAGATATATTACTGGCACAATAAAAGATACATGACTGGCACTATAAAAGATATATTACTGACACTATAAAAGATACATGACTGACACTATAAAAGATATATTACTGACACTATAAAACATACATGACTGGCACTATAAAAGAAACATAATTCATTAAAAAGGCATCAATTTTCCTCTTCGAGCATGTTAATATCTATAATCCATGTTTTATCTAATTAACCAACAGAGTTGTTCCTTTTTCAGTTCTCAACATTATTTTCTGAGTTAGAGTGTAAGCCTCTTAGTTCCCGTTTTCTTAATTTCTTATGTTTAACATGATATAAATTTGACATATTGATTTTGAACCAGTTTTCTGTCTTTATTAATTAAATTCCATGTCTTCTTTTTATTATTAGTTAAACCATTTAAGGTTACCTTCTTACAACATGATATAATACTTATCATCCTACTGATTGAACTCTATTTGCATGCAGGGTTAACGTGCACATATCATCAATCCTTTTATAAAGTTGCATTCAAAACTTAATTAAACAACTTTATCATCAATGTATGTCAGTAAACTTGGCATCATAATGTTGTTTATAATTCAAATTTTAATATCTTTATTTTAATAGGAAGTATTAAAAAATCTCAATATTCACTTTTCCGTGCATATGATGCTCCTAAACTCCAAACTGTCCATTTTAGATTTTATTTCTACACTTACATGATCTAACAAATTAGAAACATAAACTATAAATACTGACAGTCCAAAATGTAAAGTTAGAACCTCCAATCTTCTTTCTTTACTGAGATAGAACAAAAAAGTCAAATCCACATGACATAACCCTACCACCACATTCTGTTTTTCAAAAATTTTCAATAATTCTCTCTGACATTGATGTTGAATTACACAGGCCTGCAAATTTAAATTGGTTTTAATAATGGATTTTCTATAATTCAGCTATGCAGGTTTTGAAAATAATATTTATTTTTTTCTATCACATAAGGATTTTTTACAAAAGACTTTACATGTGAAACTTGAAGATTTTCTGATGCACAAAAGTATTTTTAATCTTAAAATTAAAATTACTTTGCATGTTGAATAGGTAACATGCAAAAAACAAAAAAAGGCATGTGAAAAACATTGCTTTACAAACCTTAATACTTAATAAAAAAAAAATTGATATTTTGAGTATGAAATCATTGTAATGATTACTGATAAACTGCCAAATGTCGTTAACATATGCTTACTAATTTAAAAGTTATAGCATCAAACTATAACAAGCACAAAATGGTTACGAGGCAGATCCCACTGACCGAGCCTATGCTGAAAGAGTTAAGAGAGGGTTAAATAAAGAGCAAACTAAATATTTCAAAACCATCACTGACATTAAATGAGAAAAGATTACCTTAGACTCATCTGTTGGAATTTCAAGGGAATCCACTATTTTAAGATCATTCTGAAAATGAAAGAGATGAAGTTTTAGAAAGCATAAATCATTTTAATTCAAGATAAACTTCTTTTCCACCTATGTGTGATTAATTAATTATTTATTTATTAAGTAAACATATTCCAAAGCTAAAAATATTAACAAATAATAAACGCAAAAAATCTCAACATCCTAGAATAAAATAAAAATATTGAAAAATAAAGTAGCCATATTTTCAAAACTTTAATGCAAGTTCATTGAAAATTTATTAAAGTATCAATATCAAATATGCTGTACTGAAATATCATATTTATCATACAAACTTCGCACAGAACCTGATATTGAAAAAATCATACTTATTACACTTCTTCTGTGATCCCACATCATGAGTGAAGAACTGCATGATTTCTTTATTTCTATTAATTTTATTTTCAGGTATTAATTAAATTTGCATTAATAATATCACTGAGTCCAATGCAGTATTATTAACAAGACAAAGTTTCATGAATATATGTTTTCAAATAAAATAATGATTCATAACCCTATATCTAAGAATCAACTAATAATTTTAACCCATCTTAAATCTAGTAAGTTAGATATATCCTATCCTTTCTTTAAGGTTACTTTCATTAATAGTATTTATCATAACTTTTTTATAACCAACTTGAATTTTTATTATTATTATAAGGTATTATTTGTACTATTAATTATTATAAGGTATTTATTTAGTACTATTATTATTATTAAGGATTTATTGTATATTATTTAA